AAAGTTAAGAATTCTTAATTACCATTAGTTTTAAGCTAAACGACTTCTTTCATAGAAACATTTGTTAGTTCTCTGCTGGTATCATGAGTAGAACAACTTAAGTGTGTAAAAACTCAATTAAAGCTGTGTCCTTTATTTTCCTACATACTACTTTTGCACAAAGATCTGTTTAAGAATAAAATCATGTTAAAAAATAATTTTTCCACAAGATAACAAAACATCAAGAGGTGAGGATGCCTATGCTTCTCTAATACTTACTTTGTCTGTAAATATAGTAGCCAAATCACGTAAAAACTTCTTGCTACTGAGTCTCTTCCCTAAGATTAAAATAAGTGGCAGATAAGGTATATGATCTAGTATTTCATGTAATAAAAAAGAATCACGATACAGAACTCAAGAAGCTGAGTGTCAAAATCAGACCAGGGAAAGATAGGCATAAAAAATCTAAAGACAAAATATATCGTAGATGTCAAGATCAAGATGTCTATTTGGTGCGAATAGGCAAATGGGAGATATGAAGTGGAATTGAAAGAAATATGCAGAAATAGAAGGTAGGACAAAGGCGAGGAGAGATGCCACAACCGTTTAAAAGATAATTGGTCAAGGAGATTGCCTTCACTTGTCACTTTGATAAGTTGTAACTCTATGCTAATGATGGCACCTCTCAATGAAGATGCAGGTGAAGCGAGTAAAAATGTACCAAGTCAATGTCCCGTTGCTAGAAATCATAAATACTGTGGTTAAATTGTGCAAATAGGCCATTTTACGAAGTCCTCTGTTATAGTAGCTATCATAATTCCCAGCGTCGGACCGTGGACTTGATACTTTCCCAAACGCTTCGCCGGTATCAACAATAGGTAACGTCAGTCTCAGCACCAAGCCACAACTCGTCAAAAAGACAAACTCTTGACCAATTTTCTACAGAAACGGTTATGCTATCGCTCCTCTTTCTGTCCTGGTCCCTCTATCCATTTCCTACCCTCTTGTCTAAACTTTGTCCTATGATACATCTATTCCACTTCTCAATAGCTGTACACTTTTTTGTGAGTTTATTGAGGCGTTTGCTGCATCCCTTTCCTTTTGAGTGAACTATCCGATTCGGGCCTCCAATCCAGATCGACCTTATGGCCCCATAGATTCGTTTCATATCTGTCTGGTTGACCGATTTCACTCGGTTTCAGTCCCAGTGTACATTTACTCTAGACGCCATCTCTCAGGCTTTCACTAGCAATACAATATCGCCTATGCTCTGATCTTAATTCTTGTGGATATTACGCAGTGCTTTCACGCGTCACTTCCTTGATTAAGCCCATGTATCTTGAGCAAATTGTGCACTTCTATCTCTAGTTGCCTACTACCTCTCGGGTGGATTTCTAGTTAATTTAGCTATAATACAGGATTTCTGTGACGGCTATGATTATCCGTCGCCCTAGTCGCGTGACCGCTAGGCCCCAAAAGTTGAAGTTGTTTCTTTCATCAGACTACCCTCACTGTGAGCGCCTTCAAAATTATGAAATATTGGCGTCTTAGTAACCAAACCAATTGTACTTTTTAAAAGCAGATCAGCTGTACGTCCAAACGAAGTCTCTAGGACAACAAGTTTCAGCAAGACTTATTTGAGAAAGGTCGGAAAATGATTAATACCGTTCTAATTAGTCCCATTTTATACCTCCATGGGGCAAAGCTCAGGTAATGAGGGTATATTCCAGACCAGAAAGGAACCTCCATTATTTATTGTAGAAAAATCTGCCTTTCCAACTATACTTGAGTTAAGTAGAATCAGAGTGATTTTCAATTAGTAAAGAAAGCCTAAAAGGAAAATCTTACTGTAAAATTATATACGTCCACAGTGTCCGTGCAAGCTAAAAGAAGTAAGTAGTCAGGAAACACAACCAATACGGAGGCCTGTCCACCTGCAAGTGCGGACCTGATCTTGTGATCAGAATCTCGAATATTCAATGGCTGGTTTGAGTTATCATTGGGATCGGGACGAGGATGCCGCCGCCGCTCGACTCCTGCAATAGAAATAGCTGTTACGGTCTGATCTGAACCTGAACCCGAGGTAGATGTAAAAGTCATCGTTTCAGCAAGACTGGGCAATTGTAATGGAGACACGATTGCTTCATTAGCTTCCTTTTCATCAATTGTAGGAAGTTCAAGTCCTGAGATTGGTTTGACGCTCATTGATGGTCTTCCAGGTATGTTAGTCTCAGTATC